GTCAAGGACTTAAAGTTACATGATTTGGTGCTAATTGATATTTTTTGTCAGTCAGGTATATCATGATATGTCTGTTATCCTCAATGACAGATTGGTACATTTTTTAAGAAACTTTTTAATTACATATAGCAACAATATTATTAAAGCAGCTGTTATAGCTGAGCTAGATCATAATTGCATTTGAATGAGTCATGGTACTATTTCAGTTTCCATAGGAAACCTATGCAAACACCAAGATGTTCAAAATTCAATAACTTAAAATTGCTGAGTGCCCATGATCAAGCCTATATTTATCGGAATAGATGAAACCTGGATGTCCGCTACTGTGATGAGGAAAGGATATGAGCCGCGACATTATTTGGACCTGCAGGTGTTAGAAACGTGCTTTCAATTTCGCACGAAAGAGTCGGGTGCTAACTTTAGTAATGAGTGTTCCAAGCTCAAGACTGTTAAAGGACTGAAATTATATCAATTTATTTCAGTATCGATGTTGACCTATAAATATTAACTTATAATTTTCGATGCATTCTTTTACAGCCCCTTTTCTGTCAGGAGCAAAATTACAGATTTATGTAAAAAAAAAAAAACCAACAAAACAACAAAAGGCCACGTCTATTGGAACTAATGTTTAAAATCTGAATGGTCCTGGACATGTCCTGAAACTCAAGAATATTGACGTACATTCCAAACCTGTTACGAAAACGATCTATATTAATCAAAAACCATTTTCATGGACTAAATCATAACATAAAAAAATGCGTTTGTAATCCAGTCCAGTGCATTTATATGCCACTATAATTTACCGCATTTTGTTTTAGGATTCATCCGTATTGGACTTGTATAAAAATCCTGAATTTCCTAATCATAATATAATACAAAATTGGCTGACAAATGCATCAGTACAGAATGCATTTAAAGTAAATCATTGCCAGATGCGGAAAACATGCCTATAGTTGTCATTAAAGTTAACATCTCTTTCGTTTAGGTCTAAAGATGACACGTCTTCTCACCCAAATGAGTTTCGACGAATGTACAAACATGTTGATATCTATCATTTTCAAATAACCTTTGCATTAAACTTTCTCTTTGACTTTTTTCCACCACCCAATATAAATATACAGAAAAGTACAATTACTCATCGAAGCTTAGCGTTAGGTGGGTTTAATAAACTTAAAACGTGTGTGATCATAGATACGGTCAAGCGTTTCACAACAACGATTTAGATTAATGGGGTAACTGGTCTCTTCGACCACTGTAAAAATAAATAAATTCTCTGTTTGCTTTCTTGACTAATCTAGACCATATCGTCTAACACTATTAGGAATGTATTCTAATCTACTTAAACTTACAACCCATACACATTTGCTTCCTTTTCAGTATTTATACTGAACTCTGAAAATTTAGAATATTTGTAGAAAAGATCCAAAAACTAACATAAAGGACTTCTCAGAGCCATAAGGATGAGAGTGGTGTCATCTGCATGCTGTGAAGTATGTATTCTGTTTTCATTCTTGACATTTGGATATTTCCGAATCGTATGAGCTAATATCTCTGCACATAAAAATCATGGGGATGGGAGGGTACCTTGCCTACATCCTATCTTGATTTCAAACCGTGGTGAAGATTGACAATTTACTCCTCGATTTGTTAGATTTGGTATCTTTTTTTAAAAAAAATGGATCCAGCTTTGAGAATCCTTGATAAAAATGTTTCACACGGCGATACTCAGTACTCAATGAAACAGGATATGCCCAGCAAGACCATTGATTAAAATGTTTCACACGGCGATACTCAGTACTCAATGAAACAGGGTATGCCCAGCAAGGCCATTGATAAAAATGTTTCACACGGCGATACTCAGTACTCAATAAAACAGGATATGACCAGCAAGGCCATTAAAAGGATTCAAAATCTGGATGCGATGTGGCACATAGTGGATATATGCCCTTGAACTGAAATGATTGAACTGACGTTCTATTAGAGATAATTTATTTTGACCACCTGCGATTTGTTCTTGTTTAAATGATATTTTTGTTCCACATCGCTTCGCTGATGCTGACTGAGGTCTTTTAATCTGACTAGGAGTCATACTGACACAAACGTGATGAGTTGACATTTGTGATATATATATCTGACTTCTAAATTAATGTTTTCATATTTTCTACAGGAGCATCAACGACTCTCATGCGACCATCAACACCTTCAAGTAGCATTGTTTAATCTGCAAGTTTGCGATTGCTCTGTAATTAGCAATAGTTCCTCGCGTTACACGAGCTCGAAAATGTGCGTCAACGACGGACTGCCTAAACAAATCCAAATGTTCCAGCGAAAAATAATCAATCGGGTATAGCGTTGTAAAATCCATTTGTGATATTTGTAAACCAGTATCAACATTTTTGATCACACCTCATAAACGTCATCAATCGATGATATGCATGTGTAACATGATTTAGCTAGAAATTCAACACAATATCCTCCGATGGTTCTTGATGTCCATTTATTCTCAATGAAATCTCGGTAACACCAAGTTTGTCAAATATCATAATACTACGCATTTGATCATTTACTCGTGTAGCATCTTGAAATGCAACGAATATATGTCGCAACGCAAAGATACAGTATTTTGATGCTATTTGTCATGTAAATAAACCATTAACTGTGCTTTGAACAACATCTGTGGTTATTGTTAACCATGATAGCATCAACTTTCCGCCAATGTTCATAAAAGCGAGCGACCTTTGTTCTTCAGGTATTGCTGGAGTCATTACATTGATCCACAATGAAGGCTTTCTTATAATTATCTTACCAGCATCACCGGCGGGTCGCCATATTGCATTGTCGTCTGTTTTCGTGCGAGTACACTTGTATGTTTGGCTCCGAAAATAACATTTTTAACGTGTCTGAATAATCCAAAAATATGTGATAACTGAATCGCGCAAGAAAATCTTGTCCGCATTGAAACATTGCTCGACGTGATGCCAATCCTAAGTTAAATTTGCATTAGCACCATGAACCACCGGAGCAACGTCAGCATTTGCGTTATTGAGATGGTTTCTTTGTCGTAAGAATAATATTGATAATCACGCACAGACCCATCCTTGAGAAATGGCGCATCAATGTCAAATGAGGTATCAGACATGCATTTGAACATGCTATGTACTTGGTCATAGTCTAATACGAAGACCACTTCCTGACATCTGACTTGCTGCTACATTTATTTCCTTTTAATCGACTAACTCTGCAAGTTTTGGATTTGCGGCTTGATCTATTGTTTTATTACGTTAAGAGGCATCACTTTAGTGCTGGGTAAATTTACTGGTGGGGGTCTGACTATTTGTGGTCTACTTACTAATTAGTATCGTCACCAGCAGCGCTAATACCCTTTTCAGGGATTAAGTCAATAGCTTTCATTCCTAGTTGCTTTGCGAACAGGATTTCTTTTGGGGCTATTCTTCTAAATAAACCCTGAATAGCATCACCGAGTCCATCTCCGTAAAATATCGTGTATACTTGAATCGTGTAATTTTGAATTTACCACCCTGACCATAGTTGTTCCACGTTGAGCAACATGTATGATCATCTATTATAATAAGTTTATCTAACTGTTTAATCGCTGTGATAATCATCGGTGATTTCATTAATGAGGGACCGATATACGCCAATGTCTATGATCCCACCTGTAAATAATCGTTGGCAAATAGCAGCTGCTTCATTAATAATCTCAGGAGAATTATTACCGGCTCGTTTTCCACCAATTAAAATTTATAATCTGTCCACGTCAGCAAGAATATTATTAGGACATGAAGTAATAGGAGCACTTCCGGTTGAACAAGGCTGCTTACAGTGGCACCGGGGATATCATATAATTTTTCTACCTCAGTTATTGGTCTGATTACCCTCCGCTGTGACTTTTGCTGTTTAATTATTTCATATTCCTTTATTTTATTAATATATTAATTATAATGTTTATCTTCTCTCTGAATACGTTTAACTCCGTGGTATATGCGGTATATCCAATTGTACCATTTATTATTTATAATTTCTCCAACATAATCAGATATAAGATAAAAAAATTTTGAATTATAAAATCTTTCAGAGGTTATTTCAGGTAAATTTTCCTTGTTATTAGATTTTATGTAATCAATAGATCTTGGGACAAATTTATTGATTATATCAGTTCTGGTGGTTTTTGGTTTTACCGGTTCTAGTTTTTGGGTACATTCTTTTATATCACCTATTTCATCAGAAATTTTGTCAATAAGCCCGAGACCTTCTTGAGCTGTTTGAGCAGCAACATTTTCAGCCAGGAAGTTCTTGTAGTATTTTTTTTTTGTTTTCTTAGTTCAGTCTGCTATTTTTCCAGTTGCTTCAGGGTTTTTTCCTAACACGAGAAGAATACATTTAGTAGTCTTTGTAATAGGTTTAAATAAGTAGTCTGCGCCTTCTGCAAATCCTTCATGTGTTTGCCTCCGCGCTTGTAATTGTTTTCTGGCATGTAAATATTTCTTGATTCTAGTCGCTCTCGAGTTAATTTAGCGGAGTGAGCTTCGCCAATCATTATTAATGATATAATAATTTAATTACAGCTGAAAGTAGATCTTCTGTAATTATTTTTTCTTCAATATCATCTTCTTTTATATTTATTTTGATCTTCTCTTCTTTGGGTAATTATCTACCAAGTGTTGTTTTTCTATAAATTTCTCGGGTTAACGAAGAAGATTTATTTGCTTCATTTCTTAATCAAATTTATATATGATATAATGTGATTATGATTATGATTTTTAACGTAGCTTTTAACAATTTTTCAGTCATATTGCTATGATGTCTGCAGTGTGGCAGTTTTATAGTGATGTCTAGCACTGGGGCGTCATGCCGTAGTTATGTAGCATGGTGTCCCACCCAGTCACAATATCCTGACACCAGGCCGACCAGTCATAACACTGATCTATTAATGCTGAGCGCCAAGCGAGGAAGCTGTTAGTACCATTTTTGTAAGTCTTTGGTACGACTTGACCGGGAATCGAACCCACGACCTCCTGCATCCGAGGCGGACGCTCTAACCACTAGGCCACCGGAGCGGGTTTTGATGTAATGATAAGTAGTATCGTTAAAAAAAAATCAACACCAATAACAGGAACAACCTCCTTGTTGATACATCTATATCCGATTAATGTACTCGGATAAACAAAGTAATGTTGATTTCCTTGTTTATCAGTAATTAATTTATCGTGAAAGTTATTGATACTTTTAGCCTGAGTAATTTTATTACAATCAAGAAAATAAAAAAATCGTGTCCATGTCATCAAATCGCTTATGGTTGTCATTTATTGGTATAATACATTCTAAATACATAATAATTTGTGGTAATCTGTTTTATTTCGAAACAAAATGCTTTAAGCCGAAATCGTCAAATCGACAGCAGCAGAGAGGGTGCGACTACATGTATGTGATTCTTTTTGTTCTGTTTCTCAAACTGTTTGTAGTCCCTATCTTTCAAACATAATCTTTTTTAGCCCTTGTAGAAACCCCTATTATTTTTCTTTAAAAAAAGGCTCTGTGAAAAGTGGTCTGTTTACCCTCCCTGGTCAGATCGCCACTGTCCTACGTGAAGATCTGACAGCAGCCGCTTAGGGGTCATGGTTTGGTGACCTATGTTATTGCCGTAATCGTTAATATTATCAACCAATCAAACTAAGTCTTATATTTTCACATTTAGGAGACTGAGTAGCACGGTTGAAGAGCACCAGTGTTGCCGAGCGATTGATTCGCTTTAAGATTTCTAAAATCTGCATTTCCATTGGCTAATTCAAAGTTTGCTAGAACATGATTCTTAATCAGTTGCTGTCACCTCTTCACGTAGGAAGTGGAGATATGGTTTTAATAAGAGTAGTAGGAGAAAGTAAGAATCCGAGCTCAACAACCCCCTCCAGACCTCCAAACAAATACAAAATACCTAGGTAACGTAATAGAAAACCTATTGCAATCAATAATTGCGTTAAGAATCCGAGCTCAACAAATACAAAATACCTAGGTAACGTAATAGAAAACCTATTGCAATCAATAATTGCGTTAAGAATCCGAGCTCAACAACCCCTCTAGACCTCCAAACAAATACAATAGAACACCTGTTGCAAAATATCTAGGTAACAGGTAAAATTTACTTACGTGATCTTCCAGAATAAGCAGAATGATATGTCAGACTCAATTTTTCAAATCATTACGATTTAGCAGAGCGTGGCGATTGTGGACTAAATTACGCATTAGAATTCCAGTAAGGTAAGTGGTATTATACCTCATTACCAACTGTTAATGTCTCAACTGTAGATATCAAAAATATTTCATTATCATGGTGATAGAGGCTAAACTTTACTTTACCGCTGACATAACGACGGGACTCAAACAAATCTTTTATTTGTGATTTGTTAAGAGGGTATTTTTTGTCGATAAAATACACCTTTGACCGATCAAGATCAATTGTAAGTTTGGTGTATTTTTGCTGACTAATCGGACAGTGAAAGTTGTTAAATTCCGCTAGCAACTTTTGATACAATTGTTCGAGATAATTAAAATACTCGCTGTCATCAGATCTGATGAGCGAAAGTTTTAACTTGTCACGGGTACCACTAAAGCATATGCCTGATGTTTCATTATTAATTTCAACTGTCAATGGTTTGCCGTCCATCATTAGATATTTGATTTTGCTACTGTAGCTATTTGTTACTGTCAAATTTTCAAACATTATTTTTAAAGTTTAGATAAAATTTTAGTTTGCAAAGATAATGTCAAATATATCTCTATCATCATGACAATACCCAAGTGCAAATGTATCTACCCCATTTTCGCAATAACGTTTATCATCAAAATTGCTCAAACCGCGTTTGATAAGGACATCTGTTTCGAGCTTATGATGATTTGTCCGAATTGACATAGCTCTTATAAAACTAACACCGCCATCAAGCGCGTACTTGTAGTCATCAAATTTTATAAACTTTTTAACAAAATCACGAGGCAGACCTTTTGCTTTTTTTGTTATTTTATTATTGTCTAACAATACGGCATACATTTTACTACGTAATCCGATAAAGTATTTGATAGCGCTCGAGTTCATTTCATCTTTGAACTTACCAATAACCTTTTTATTTGTGTCGTCATGAAATTTACTTTCACGTGGGTAATCAGAAAGATCAAATAGATATCTATTATCATGCATATCCTGATAGATGTCCTCACATTCGATTTCATATACGAGCGAATCAGTATCAGTAAATAATAATCTACTAGCCGGCCATTGATTTTTAACAAAATTATAATGAAAATCATACATCAGCCACTTTGATAAATCTAACACTGAAGCTCCAACGTAGATCGGCTTGTTTAGTTTTAGATTTGTTTTTCTTCTTTGTATCGCAACAAGATTCTCATTAAATATTTTCATGCTCACAAAATCATCGTCTGACACAAGTTTGTTTCTGCGATTGACATCATTGACTAGTTCGATATTTACGCGTTTCCTAATATTCTCCATCGTCTTACCAAAAACAGAATTGTTCATCAGTTTGAAAAAGTTTTTCTCAAAATCAGTTTTTGCTGCAGCTCTTCTTGTAGTGTTTGAGTTAATATAACCTCTCATCCACGGCGACTGATTAAATTTTAGTACGCGATGAACTTTTCTCAACACGAGACCAGCATCGACTGCTTGTTTTAAAGCTTTGTAATGCAAAACATAATTACGTTTATGAAGCAAATTTGGTACTAGTTTCTTTACCATGGAATGTTGCCTTGGTGATGCTAACGCTTGTTGTTCTTTTGATAACAAACTATAATCTATAACCATCGATTCCGCACAGAAAGGGTAATCGTTATGCAATTTGTGTAGCGAAGTTGGATAATCGAGATCAACTTCAACGAAATACGAAACATCGTCGGGTATCTTTTTTTCTGTCTCTGATAGAAATTGATCAGCCGTGATCCAATGAAAGCCACCAAGAGGCATTGGTTCTGCCATCGAATACCCGTACAAGTTATTGCAATCTAGATAAACTATATACTTCGAAGGAAGGTCAGGATTATACTCTTTCAAATATTTGTTGTTTGCTTCAGCATATTTCTTCGTTATCACGCTAATACCGCCTCGGATACCTTTTTCAATAAAATTGAACATATCAACATCAGTCAGTAATTCCAACCTTACCTTACTAAACTTTAACAGAGCATCCCATGACAGTCCGGGGGCAGAATAATACCAGCAAGGATCTAGTCCGTAATTATTATAACTCACTTCTCGAAAACTTTCAAAAACATCTGCTAATAATAACACGTCAGTTTTCAAATACAAATCGTGATAATCACCAAAAGTCTCACAATCAAACTCTTTCCAAATATCTTGTGCATACTTGTACTCGTCATCAGTTATATTTTCTTTTTTAAGTTGCGAGTAAAATTTGTCTTTGCTAGGTAAAGATGTTTCATCAAATTTACTCCAATCGTCGAGATATTCGTATGGAAAAACTCCTTTTTTAGCTAATAGATTAAATTTATCTCCAAAACAGTCTCTTAGGTTATTAAATTTACTACAACCTTTTACTAACTCATCTAACGAGTCTGCCATAAACTGCAGGCTGTCAATAAAACGCAATTTACCTAGCGTAACTGACATGTACTTTTCAAAATTATTTGGGATGCATTTGATGATGTTATCGAGTTTTAGACGAGATTTTATATCAAGATCACCAAAAGCTTCTACTATAATGTGACTATCATATCCTCGAAAATTGTGAAGAATAACTGGAATAAAATCTGGAGCGTGAAATTTTAAATTACACTGGTCATGAGCCGCTCCACGATACTGTCCGGTCAAATGGCAATGGTCACGTACTTTTTTGTCAGTCCTGACATTGTCAGGGTCAAAAGCTTTTTCACAAATATAACAAATTTTCGCTTGCTCGTGATCAGATTCTTGTTGAGGTGTTAATTTTAACATTGGAGTTACTTTTTTCAAACGATAAGTAATATTATCAACTTCGTTAATCAACTGCTTGAGAAGCCAGACAGCTGGATTTTTACCTCGATATAATTTGATCGGTTTAGATAACCTCGAATCAGCGCAACAAACTACCTTGTACGCTACTCCACATGGAACATGATTTTGAATTTTTCTTGTACTCGATTGGTTAGGATCATTTTCTACGCCAAGTACAGGTTGAAGTAAGCATTCGAAATCGACGTATATGACGAAAGGAATTTTTAGTTTATGATTATGATGGACAAACTGTAACACGCTATCTTTTTTAGATGGCATTGTTATTCTTTGTACGTCACTACAGTACTGCAAATGCTTTTGTAATGTTTCATTGTCTCTACAACCGTGCAAGCAGCGATAACAAAAGAACTTTTTGTTGTTATTTTTATTATACTGTCTTCCAACTAGTCTGTTAAAGTTTTTGATCCAAACGTAATGATTTTTATAAAACAGTAAATTGATAGTCGTTTGTGAAGCTTTTTCTGAAATATACCTCGGATAGACATTTTCTTTTTCATCTAATCCGAAAACGTTAATCGAAATATTATTTTGCTTTTCAAACTTTGGTATTTGATTTTCTGCCACTGGAAAGTCAATACCAGCACAATTTAATCTTGACACGTGACTGATATACTTCTCAACACGATCAGCATTTTTTTCTGCTGGAAATAGCGCGGAAAGAACAGCCCATTGGAAACATTTGCTATCGACGTTTTTTATGTTTATACAGCACTGTTTATTTTTTATTTTTGGTGGCAGGTCGATATACGAACTACCGCGTAATGCGTCATATTTCATCGTGTGAAACAAAATTTCCTTGATCATTTCAAACTTCCAACCCGAACCTAATTCGGTAAATTCCTCTATTTTTTTCCAAATTTCTTGGTGTATTTCATTAGATAGTGACAAAAGATCACTACCAAGTAAAACACGTCTAGATTTTGCGTTGATGTAAGGGTCTGCAATTTCCTTGTTAGTAGATTCTTCCGTCACAAGTAGTTTTGAAAATATAACGTGATATTGCACTAACAATCTTAGACCCTTGTGTTTTTCAAGCTC